TATGAAATGTCATTAGCTCGATCGTGTACTTTAGGTGAATATATGGGGATGTATGGCATATGTATACACACATGTACGTAGATTGATAGATTGCATCAAAATCGCGAAAATACGGTCACCTACTTATCATTCAAGTGGTTTTTGAACGAAAAGCAAACCAGAAACCCAATTTGTGCAGGGGAAGTTTCCGCGAGGAGATAAGGGCTAAGCATGAACCACAAATAGATAGCACCATGAAAAACAACTTCAAAGACCTCACCCAAATCTTATCAATTCATTTCTAGGCTCTGCAATAAGTGCTAAACATGTTTCTAAGGAAACATTAGGCGTTTTCAAAAAAAAAACGTGACTATAAATGTATTTGAATGAATTCAATTGATCGAAAACAGATAATACAATACTTAATGCTAGTCTTCTCCTGATAATATGCAATATGAACTCATAGAAACGAATTTAGGTATCGAAACAGTTCTATTAAGACTTAATTTTCAAAATCAAAGCAAAACAAAAGTATCGGACCATAGCCGCCAACAAATCGATAACGGAAGAAATAAACAACAAATACATTCAAAACATATTAACTTACTGAATAGACTGCTGATGTGATGTAGTTTACATATCAGGAATCAGAAATTCAAATACGATGAACTATGATAGAGGCGAAAACGAAACTCGCCCTGAAAAACTCACCAACGACGCGGCGTCCCACCACAACTCGTACGACAACTCGCCGCCCACCACGGGCGGGTGTCATTGTGGAGTGGAAGCCGTCCGTCGACTTTTTCTGTTTTCCACGCCATCGTAAAATCAAGAGTTGTCTTGAGAACCCATGTAACTTCCTGTTGGCTACGTGCTCAAACATAGGTGGAGACCGAAATTCCCTAAGATCCCACATATGCGGCTATTTTTATATCTCCATGGTTCCTTTTCTTGAAATCTGGGCATTTCTTGACATATAAATAGCCAACATCTCATCGTCGAACGGCTTTTATGGTAAAATATTGTTGTTCGTTGGCATGAGTTGCAAATGGGTTAGAGTGGGCACGTTCATGGTACCTGCGTCTTGCCGCAAGCGTCTGGTCTGCGTCACGACGCTGACGTCCATGTTGGCGTAACGCTATAAATACGCCCAGCGGTGATGTATCAAGCGACATAAATGCCATTTGGTCCATTCTTTACAGAAAAATTGTTTTTGAGAAGATCTCTGGGTGCTGGATAGACCAGATCAGTGCAGTTCCCTCAAAAGAAACAGCAAACCAGTGTTTTCCTTTGAACTGCTGCACATGACAGATTTTGCAGTCCGTGGACTTTGCGATACAGTAACAACAATGTGAATACGTAAGATGTTCACCAATTTGGTGATATTTGGCGTATCCAACAAGTTATCGAAACTTCTTAGATTAGGACGAGTTATGTTGCCGCCAGCTATATCAGGCAGAAACTACGGTACTAGCTGGCTTACGGTACTGTTAAATCGAAGCATGTTGAAGTGTGGCTTGATGTACCCGACTCGTAGTCCTTCGGGTAGCCTTTCTCCCAGTTGGAGATCACGTGATCGTGCGTGAATGGGAAAGATCTTTTACCCTGGAATGAGACTTCCCCTCGTTCTACCGTAAATTTATCTTCGTATCAAGATCTTTCGTGTTCCCATGTATCGTCGATCGAGGTTTTGTTGTCTGCTAGCGACATTTTTAAAATGAAAAAGTCTATTTATAGTCTTAATAAAGACGGGGAAAACAGGTCTAGGCACCACTGCATTGGGGAGAACCTCATTTCGGTAAACATTTGTGTCATACTCAACAGTAAATACCAGCAATGGTCGCTTACTTGACCATTTTAAATGGTAAGTAGTTGGGATGGCTCATCAGAAAGGCACTTGGTCTAGAAATTTCTAGAATGTAGGGTTGAGAGGAACGTTTTTGGGGTAAATCAATTCCATTTGGGAATGAAAGGGTGGAATGAAAAGGTCCTGTTGGCCTGAATAGGTGCTGATAATTTCAAACTCATCCTCTGTTTTTCTGTAGCACCCCATGGTCTAAGGGAGTAACTGATGGACCCTCATATCACGGAATAAGAGCTCAGGGTGAGTTGTCTAAACAGAATCTCCAATTGATGGTTTGCTACGAACAAGCAGGAGAACCGAGCAGCCATTACGGGACCTTTGGCGAAAACACCAACTTTGAATTTACATCGTCCGCTTTGTTATTTGTTCCTAGATAATCTGAGCATTCTCCCGTTTCCATGTGGTCGCAGCCCAGACAGTCCGGTGATGGCAGTACGACTGAACAATCGTGCGAAAACTTTTGCAAGGAAACGCATGCGCCGCGCAGCCTATTATGTGTATTGTATCTTGGCTAGGCAAATTCAGTCAGCACTTCAACAAAATTGTCTGTATTCGAGCACAAGCAGTGTTGCCCTCTACATTAGATAATGTTTCACAGTTACGTTTGGAATGCGCCATGTATTTCATTATCATTTAAAAAGTAAACGACCGGGTATTCCTGTCTATAACACTTTGGTAGGATTTTTAAGGTAATATTCTTAACCATACATAAAACTGGAGTAAAAAAGAAGGATATTTGATGACGCATTATGTCTAGCAGTCGATAACTTGAAATATTTGTTCCCCAAAATTTGACCATGTTTGTAAAAAAAATTGAAATTCAATCCTGATCCTTGCCTGAATTCCAAAAAAAGGGAATGAAAGCAAATGTCTTTATACGTCGCGATTGCAACATCTGTCGAATTTTTAGAAGAACAAAGACAGTTAGAGCGGAAATAATGTCAAACTTGTTTATCTCAGCAATATTACAAAAGGAAATGACATTAAACATTGTTACGCGACTCTCGTCNCGTTAATGTAGACGACACAACGGTAACGGACTGTCAACAAAAAACAAATTCTGTATAACAACAACAGCAAAAACAACAAACGGAGAACATTGGAAAAGTATAACGGTATGATTTCCAAATTTGTACTGCTGTGAATATTACACTGTCAACGAAATAAATAAACAAAAACAAATATTTACTACCACAAATTAAAGAAAACAACTAATGAGGAATACAAAAAAGATTCTGCCTTGACAATTGAAGAAAACAAGAAAACAAACATTTACAAAATAACAGATCTACAAAGGCAACAGGTTTTGTAGAAACGAGGAAGACTTCCATGAAAATGAGGAGCTTTTTTATCAAATAACTAATAAATGCCCGGGCTTTTACAATACCTACAAACTACAGTATATTTCTTGCGCTCGAACTGTCCCCATCTCTGACATCCCTCCTTCAGCTTACAAAACCACAGCCAATTTCGGAAACATTCATGACTGTATGTATCAATGCCAAGAAAAAATTATGAATCACTGGCACACATACCAATACCATCGTGCTGTTTTATGGGCACCTTTTGGACAGTGACGCTTCGTAAACAGATTTTTCTATACAATTCGAGGGACACTATATGTGACCCATTGCGGTGAAGTCGTCAAGCGAGGGGAATAAAACTTGAAAATACGTTGTAACAGCTCTGATAGAAAGAAGGGGAGAAAAATGTCTCNTCTCAAGAGCGGGAAAAGCTGAAACATGTGATCATAGCTGTGACTGGATGGAAGATGAATTCGAGAGCTTCTTTTACTCGTTGATGCAGGCTTTTCAGATTGAAAAGATACTCTATTTCTTGAGGAAAAGTTTTCCACGAGTGGAACAACTTAGGGACTTGCTCATAGATCTGTTCAAAAAGAGAACTTTCGGAACTCTTAATTCATGAGGCAGAGGGTCTTATAAGAGAAAGCATGAACTCCCATTCACAGCCCGTTTGATAAGTGGAAAAACCTGGAAATATCCTTCAGTTGTCAGGGCTTATCTAAAGCGTACAAAATTCAGAAAGGTCACAATTCTGTTCGAAGGGAAGAAGATCAAGCGGGTCGCTCTACTCGCTGAGTCAGGCTTCCAAAAAATGGGAGAAATTCTAGTAAAGAACCACAGCTGCATAAGGTAAGAAGAAGGTGGCTAAATCTCTTTCTCGTTGCGATAGATTTCCCTTGGTGAGAAAAAATCCATAAAAATTAGAGCTCTGCTATAAGGAAGAGAGGTCCTGATAGAATTCCTTGCTCGCTAACAGTCTTTTAGAAGCGTAAAAAAGAAAACACACAGAAACACTTGGTTGTCTCTATTACCCTAGACCAGAGTGGGGGAAACACGAACAGGTTCTGCTTACCGATGGGACTGCTTTTGTAGGAAAAAGAGGATAATGAGTGAGTGCACGGAGAACTACAGCCCAGTGCCATTATCGACCTTGTTTTCTTCGGGACAACACAAACAACAGGGAGTTTTTCTAACATCTTCTGGTCCGTTCATTTCTCCATTCTCCATGACATTCTCTCACAAAAAAAAAAACGCGCCAAGAGTGTCTGTGGGTGTGTGGGCGTGTGTCGGCGTGTGAGTTTACCGGAAGTTCACAATTCCTGCGCCCGTGGACCCACAACGTTCAGATTTGCTAAGAGTACAGGCAGCAGGATGGCAACACTGATGGTATGTGGCAGGACTGGACTTAGCCCACAAGTGCGAGAGTGCGCGAAAATTCGTATTGAAGGAGAAATTCATAACTCCTGTTCTCTTGAATCTGAGCCGCTCGAATGTGGTAGGGGTGTAGGAATGTCGATGGTAGGTGGTACGACTGGACTCCGCCCACGAGGGCGGGGCGTGCATGGAAAGAACGTAATCTGTGTAAAAATACGCAGTCAAGTCGGAATAAACGGGAAATAAATCAAGTTACTTGAACACGCAGTACTTGAGCAGGACTTTAACAGGAAAAGGAAGAAAGCACGAGTTCAGCCAGGCGATCCGAATGGTAAAAAATGAAGACGAATTTCAAACTTATTTTGAGACTTGCGTTCCAGTGCGTCCTGAGACTCCGATCGCCAGATTCAACTGAAGTATATACAGGCAGGCCAGGGCCAGGCGAACGATGATCAGCGGAAGCGTGCTGCACCCAACTCTCATTCCGCCGCAACGTTCCTTTTCCGTTTCATTTCTCGATATGCCTCAATGACTCGTTGGCGGTCTATTTCTCCAGGCTTCTCTCTTTTTCCATCATCCAAATACTTCGTTTTCGATCCATTTGAATTCTGATGGAGGAGCGAGTGGAGAAGTAGTTTTTTGGCGCCAGCCTGAAATCCGTGCACCTGATACTAGCTATCCTCTTATAATGAAACTTATCCCTGCAACAGAACAAGAAAAAANAAAAAAGGTTGAAATATTTCCGCAAGTAATTTAAATTGAGATTTCCTTTCTCTATTAGAAAAGGACTCCTCTGCGAAATTTTACAATTGCTTGTAGTAGTTTGAAAGCCTCTGCGAGAATGTTACTTGAAGGATAACCACTAGGACGAAAAAGAGAAAGACTTAATCATCTTTTTTTCGAAATGGAAATCATTTTTTAGTCATGGACTGCAAGACAGGGTTATACAGGAAGTGTGACTTGAACTGACGGAAAAAAACAGAGAAGGACCGGAATTGCATTGAGAGAAACGATGACAACGCTTTTTCAATAAAAACTAGCTTGAAGCAAGAAAAAAATCGAGAGAAGATGCGAAGTTGATAGCCAAGACTGGAAGAATTACGAAACGAAAAATGGTCAATAAATCCAAGTTAAACAGCCTTTCAGTACGCGCCATAAACATTATTTCTATGCGGAACAGTAGCATAGTACAGGGTCATTAGTTGTAGAGATAGACTTTCGCTCTAATCAGTGATTTTGCCGACAGTGAGCAGCGTGGTTTCTTCGAGCTCAACCCAGAAAAGAAAAAAAAAAAACCTGGACCGCATTAACAAAACAATAGCAATGTTGAACTTTTCCGTAACCAATCAAATTAATAAGATTTCATGGCTTAGAGCATAGGATAAATAACTGAAACAAAATATCCGCAAAATCTCCAAAGCATTCACCTTAGCCATAAGCGGATTCATTTCCTTTTTCATTGCCCCTTTGAAATCCGGCGGTGCATCATAACGTTCACCAAATGCGATGACTTCTACAAAGTGACGGGTGATTGTTTAAGTTGTCGTAAAAAAGGTAAATGAGTTTGAAAGGGTTTTTATTAAAAAGCTAAAAAATGTAAAAATGTGAATGTGTTTACGAAAAATCACAATAGTTCACCTACAACCCAACTTTTCACCAGCATATGCCCTTCACAGTAGCCATCATTTCAAGCCACAGAACTTACACTCTGGAAATTCAATGAGAGGATCTCTCTCATAATCTCGACATCCTTAACTCACTTATGACAACAAGGAACTCACAAACTTTGACTCCCCTTCATATCATTTTCAACCTTCCCAACATAGACAATGCAAGGACCAGCAATATTTAAGACGAACGTAATTTCTGTTTTCAGTATAACAGGAACTTAACTCATGAGACTTGAGTCAACAGCGCTTCTTCTCTTCGTTATACCTCTACTCGCCGATTTTCGGGCGAATTGATAAAATAATAGAACGAGTAAATATAAAACTGAGCAGCGACCTGTGCAATTTTTAAAAGACAGTTGACAGAAACAGGCATATTAAGCCTATCACAGAGCAAAATCGTTCACCTCTCTGATTTAATACCGCTTCTTTACGAGCTTGCTCAGCAGCTAATTTCTTCTTCTCTCGAATCTTATCCGAACCTCCCAACTTCTTTTTCTTCTTCTTTACGACCGTGTCATCATCGAGAAGTATCCCAGATGTCGATTTCTTGCTTATTACATCTTTAAGTTTCTAAAAACTTGAATTCAAATCCCGTGTACTTCCAAAAAAAAACATTAATGACTGAAGGAATGGAATTTTGTGAAATAATAAATTTGGTGGACCTTATTATAGAAATCGTTAAAAAGATCGACAAGCATAGGGCTCTTTTAACGAAGTTTTCTAATCTCATTGTAGAAAATTGAATATATCAACAAAAGCTATACAAATTTTTTAGAGAGTTTGATTATCAAATACGGACTTCATCTTTTTCCATTACCACATCGGTTACATCTGGATCACCCTGGACTTCTGTCTTCCGTTTGTTTCTCCTTTCTTCTTTGTCCTTCAGTTTTTCCTAAAGAACACCAAATTTAAACGAAAAAATCCAGTAATCATATTTCGGAACTAAGCTTTACATACCTCTTTCAGTTTCGCTTCACGCTCTCTTTTTTCTCGAGCCGCTTTTATTTTGTTCTGAATCTCGTTTTTCTTTTGCTCTTTCATTCTCTTCTCCTTCTCTTCCAGTAGTTTGAAATCAGCTTCCAGTTCTGATTCACTTCGTCCAACCAGGCCTTGTTTGACCTGAACTAGCTTTATTAACTTATTTTCTTCAGTGAAAGGAAGCACCTTCACCAAAGGTTTCCAGGAAATGAACAATATTTCAAGGTCTACGTTCTGTAAAGACAGGGCGCTATCAAATAGTGATAGCGAAGCTAGAAAAATCGGAGGTTCTCCTGGAATAATATTCGTTCCAGTAGCCTTCCTGCCTCAATTTCTGAGAAACAGAACGATGTTATAACTGAGATAAAACCACGAACCAGCATCTCGTGTTCATTTATAGCAGCGTAAGTCATACGTTCAACACGACGTACAAAGTGAGACACAGTTTCGAAACGTCCTTTACGGATACCGATCTTCTCTGCTTCAGCTTAAAAATTAGTCAATAATAGGTTCCTGCTGCTTACGTTTGATCAATTACAAATTTAATGCCTAAAATGTGTTTGGTTCAAATAACTCAATAGTACACATTCTTTTTTAGAAAATGACTAATCTACAATAATGACCATAATTTGGTGCATGTTTGTGAGACCTACAAATTACCTTCATACTTAGCGATGAAGTTTTTAGGACTTACCGAGTACCTTGTTTTTATGTTGTTTTCGTTTCTTCACCTCCTTCTTATCAACTAGCACCTCTTCTTTGCTTTTCTGAAAACTAAAGACTTTGTGCTCTCAAAAACGCACACTGATAAAAAGAATACCTGCAACTCTAGCAAAGATCGAGGAACTGGCTGAACATCATCCTTTGGTTCCCAGTTGATTTTGCTGGAAAAGAACAGAGTGAATTGAAGATCTGGTAAGTTCAGATGCAAGAAATTTACTAATTCCAAGGTTACATTTGAGGAAAGTTGTTTGTAATCTACGTTTCGACCTTAATAATGATTAATAGCAAACCTCATTGCTTGTGCTTTCAGTGCTGGTGCTTTCTTGTTGAACGGATCAACCGATTTCAGCTTCTTTCGATTCTTCGTCGGTATTCTCTTGTGCCGGCCCATGGCTTTTCACTGAACCTATTAACTTACTCAACAGCATGGCATTCTAAAAAAGGATATATTCTCAATTGGTACACACACCAATGATATTTCAAAAGCACACTGAAATTAAAATTTTTTATTGGTAAAAATAGTGATTTTCATTCCGAAGCGGTAGCTGACATTGGAAGGAACTTCCTACACGATGGGAAACCGCAAAGGCACTGCTTTCCGCTTTCCAGCGATAATGTTGATGTTCCATAATCATAGCATATCTCTTCTCCAGCACGAATTATTCTGAACACAATTGAACAACTTTTCACGATAATTTCGAGCTATCTCAGGTGTTACGTTTGTTCTACACCACTGACTAATCCACTACCAATAATCCCCGACGATAATGAGTCCCACCTTCCATTAATGTGGCTCTCCAGGGACACTCTCTTTTTGTGGAGCATGAATTCAACGTGCATCTTTTGACCCATTGAAAAAACTGCGATCACAGTATGTGGGAGTACGCTGTATAGATTATAACCGGTAAGTTCTCGCTCTCGTTCTACATTCTAGTATTACTTTCGTTCTTTCGAACTGTCTGTAGACATGAGAGTTCAAAGACAACAGTCCAAAAGGTATACCTGTTCGAGAACAATCCCACATGAGGTACGGTATACCCAATTCGTACAATAACTATAGAAAGATTCGGCTCACAAGCGTGGTTAATGAAGCGAGCAAGGTTGCCTCGATGTCGAGGATCAACAAATGTCGTTACAACACCTCCTGAATCGATCAAAATCAATAAAAACTGTGAGTGTACGCCAAGAAGGCTTACTCAACAAATACCTAGCAAAATGAAGTGGAACTCACCTTCACTATGTTCTCTTATTGTCATAGTATAATTATGATTATGAGCTGACGTCGCTCTTCGTTCAACCTCGTCTTTATTCAGAATTTCTCCAGCGTATTCACAAATGAAAGTACCCTTTGGGATTTCTCGTACAGCTCGCACACCATACCCTTTGTGACCTGTGCATTCGAAAATCTAAAAAAAGGAATCATAAATACGACTTCGAAAGCATTTGGTTCAATTATCTAACTGACTTCTTCGAAGTAGAAGTGGGGAAAGTTATAGCAGTCCTACTTACTAATTTTGCTATACAATCTACCTCACTCAACTACTAATCAAAGTCGATGGGACATAAATTGAAAATCCAAAATGAGCACCACGAGAAATATTCAATCCTTAGTGGATTATCTCATTAGAGTAGAATAAGAACAGTTATTACCTCTAACGCCACTTGGACTCCTCGTTGAAGGACACGATTACGACAGGGCTGCTCACATTGGGCGCATAAACATTCGTCATGGCACTCCAGAATTGGGGCTCCACTTGCTTTTTCGAGTAGAATACCATCACTCGAGTAATTGTCCTACAATTTCTTGAATGACATATCAAGAGCTGCCCTAATCAAATAGTGGGAATGTTCGGTGTTGTTCAAGAACCGCTATTTTAAGGGACCGTGGGCCTGCTGATTTTTCAGATCTGTTAGGGGAAAAGAATGGGACCCGTGTTCTGAATGCATTAATCACAAAATGTTCCTTATGACTACTGAAATACTAGTGCCACCTTTCAAAGGAAGAACCAAACAATATGGCACCGCACTGACCCTCTAACTGCATACATTATAGAAGACCAATAGATCTCTACCAGTATTCAAATTTAACTCTATATATTTCTTCTTGGAAGCTTGTTCAGTTTCTGCTCAAAAATGTCAGGCATGAACGCAATATACGGCCAAAATGACTGCTGAGTCAGAAGTCAAATGCGATTTCTGGACTGATACATGACGGCATTGCCTCCCTATATTTTTTGCCCAATGTAGCACCACAAATAAATCTAAAAGAAGCAAACTACCCGAAAAAACACTTATCTGGTCAAATAGGCAGAAGAATGGGTAAATCAAAGAGGTCGTGTAGTTCCCTAGCCCAAAAAATAGAGGGTGGGTAATAGGTTGGAGTAGCACTATACATAAATCTAGTTTACCCAAGAAAGTTCAGCATTAACCGACAATGAGATCAAGCCCGGGAATCAAACGTAATAGCTCAAAAACGTACCTCCGCACCCAATAAGCAGGCACAATTCTGCTCAGCAGAACATTCACCCGTACAATCACAGCCAGCCAACAGCTCCCAGTCGTTGGGATCACTACCTGGTCCCCGAACACTCGTCGTAATATATTCAAAATTCATAATACCGTCTTCCAGCTCTTAGAACATTGTAATCAAGAGTGTGAAAGCTTAAACGATTCTACTAAAACCGAATAAAATAAATACACTTCCGTAAAAAAATTTATAACTCAGATCCAAGGTATTTCTATAGAAATGCACCAAGACCATTATGTACCAAAAAAGGCTTTTATACAGTTTATTTACAAGCTTATAAGAGCATAAACAAATGGAACATAGCGCATAACGTAACATTCAGTATTCCTTTGAAGTATTACATAAGTGAACAACAAAACAGAGCTACCAAGAGATTTATCCAAGTAAATTATTGCAACATTAAGGAAGCTGTATCGTAAGTATGTCGGTCAACTTGGAATGATTTTGAAATTCAATTTTCAGAATAATTCCAAAATTTTCGTGCAAAACAATCGTAATGGGAAGGGAGGGCGTTTGGGCAATTGAGCTTCAGGAGCTCAGTTCACCATTGTTTTATTCGCTTTATTAACGCGAAGATTTCGTCAAGCATCTTTAAGGCCCTTTTCCTTTTATTTGATCTGTGAAAAACCCATCATTTCAACATTTTTCCCGGAGAGAGGGGAAGGAGGGGGAAGGGAACGAGTTTGGACCACCAATTTGATCTAGTTATATTTCTTCTTCTATTCTATTATATTCTTCTATTCCCTTCGAAAATAATTTTCTCACATGAAAATCACTGCTACTAGCTTACGCGGCATAAAATCCCACTGAATTAACAGATTACATTATTCATCCCCCCCATAGATCAGGCGGCCCCGCACTTGACTAAATCTCAGCGTTTTCGGAGATTATTACTCGTGAAAACTAACATACAAACAGCATTAGAACATAGGCACTTAACTGCATCGTATTATGAAGCAACAAAAAAAAATGCACATATTACACTCACAGGTAATCAAGTGCACCTAAGCGTCAGCTATTAAAACCACTCCAGAATGCGAGCTCAAGAAAACCGATCGTAAAACATGATCGTAGGGAAACTTCCCGGCTACAAGGGCAAACTCATAGGGGACATTCGGAATGGGCTCACTATTCTAGTGGTTTTTAAGGCCTCATGTAATACTGAGGAAAAAAAATTATGCTGCTGAGCGCAGCTGGACAAAACCTACAAACCGCAAAATGTAAATGAGGCCTAATGGAGAGAAAAAAAAAACCTAAAAAGAAACAAAGCTCAGCAAAAACATATTGGATAATTAGCCGTCATAGTCAATGTATTCGAGAGAACGCTGCAACAGCTGCAAGACAGTATCATCGCCATATCCGAGAAATTGGTTTTCTATAGAACCTACCAAGTCGGGTCCGTAAATGGGCAGCACTACTAGAGCTAATGGTAAGATCATGTTGAGATATGTAGTGGAGTTGTTAAAGGAGGTCGTCCACGTAATCAGCCATCAGGAACAGTACCGCCAGATGACGTGATCACGCTGTTTCTGCTTTTGCAAAGCGAACATACGTGAACGGCACGATACCAACACGGCCGTCCGATTCGCCCTCGTACATTCCATTCGTGAGCTTCTTCGTTATTCGTACCAACTGTCCTTTCTGCAATCACAAATTCATATAAGGAAAGTGAACGATTCAATGGATACCTACACGTCTAAGATCAAAGAAAGTCAATGAAAAAATTAGAAAAACCTTAAAATCTCAAAAATAAGTCCACCTTCAGTTTCAATTGAGTTCGATCATATGCGTTCGGTTGTCTATCGTAGATGGCTTTTGCAACGGCAGGCAGAGGTGGCTGAAAAAAGTTAGGTATAGATGAATCGCTTTGACTCCCTGATTTCCCCGATAAGAAGTTTTTCTAATAGGAAATACCCTGATCATAGGAAGGATTACCACGATGCGATCAACTACCTTCCTCGGTCAATAATACACAAATCCTTTAGTTCCAAAAACACAATGCAAAACATCATGAAAACGGTAATAAATCAGGGTAAACAACACAATTATATTTGTGAACTGGTTTCTGTGAACCTGTGGTTGTTTCCATTGCTCACATTGCAAATTCACGCCAGGAGCCCCTAACAAAAAACCTATTTGCACTTTGTCCCCTTGCAATGCGCTGCAGAAAATGAATCCAACATCTGCTCGAGACACCAAAAAAA